AATAGGGTTACAATAGTAGTGGGCAGCCTTTTGGTAGTTGGGCTAGGATTTTCTTTTTTTGTTAGAGTTTTTCTTTAGATTTCTGCACTCATTTCTTTTTTAAATTTATACTCAAATGTACAATATTTTATTTAATTTAAAAGATGTCATAGGTTAGATGTGGTCAATAATCACACAAACACTCATGAGTAGTATTTTGGATCTACTCACTGGGTCCATCTGATAATGATCACTGACTTTCAGACAAAGAAAGGAGTCAAGGAGAAGCATTTAATTGGAGGTGAAGTATTAGCCTCTTTTAATTGGAGGTGAAGTATTAGCCTCTTTGAAATCCACGGCACTTGCCCTCTAACAATCCATAAGCTACAGGCCTCATCTCTGCCATGAACTTGTAAGACATTGTGGTCTAGTAAGCCCTCTCATTTTTCCAGCCTATCATCCATTCTATTATATATAGATAATATCGTTGTTTAAATAAAGTTTGAAAGATTCAGCAATCTCCCTTGAAAACAAGAAGGTATAGGTCTGCACAAGAGACTCTCAGTGAACTAGCTGAGAGTCTGTTAGTCTCCCTCAGTGCTTGCTGGAGACATTTTCAGCATTACTTCTCTGATAGTGAAGGCAGAGCATCAAAGACATATCCCATATGCATGTCAGAAATTCTGCAAAGCTAAACGGTTCTATTCCTATTCCACATATTCCCACCACATGTTCAGGAAAAGAACCAAGAACTATTCTTGCCATAAAGTGGCATAATTAATTGGGCCCCAGTGGTTATGAATGGGAAAAAAGAAAAAGCTTCCTTCAGAAGTTCAAACATGCCTTCAACATTCCACTCTGGAGAGCAAACCCGCTTGATTTAGATCATGGTGTTTCCTTCACTGTGGAGTCTGCTCTTTCTCTAATAAGTTTGCTCATAATAACAGAGCAAGTTGCTCACTAATTTATTCTATTTTATTGGCTAAGTCTAAAGTTGTTCCCTTTGGGCTTCTGCCCATGAGAAAATATCACTTGGCTGCTAATATTTATTGCAAGGCTTCTGAGACCCAAAGTAACAGTAAAGCTTTTTGTCACCTAAAGAAAGGCAGTAACCTTCTTCAGCCTGAGTATCTATCATAATAAGTCAGATCCTTATGAGAATTTCTCCTGACTCACTAAAAACAGCAGGAGTACCCCCCAGACACATTTTTTTTCCCCAAGCATGAAGTCCAAAATGGAGAGAGGTTCATTTTTCAGCTTAGCATTAACAGTGAAACTGTTCTTTTTCTGTACCTTAGATTAAAAAGATTTTGGAATTGGATCTGTCAGTTCTTAGATCTTAGAATGTGATGTGAATTTGACTGACAAAAGTCACTCTCTTTCCCTAATTGACTTTGGTTTTTCTTCTTGTCTTAGTTATTGTGGTTCTTTATGTGGCCTTGAGACGACAGAAGAAAAAAGACACCCTAATGACCTCCAAGGAAGACGTTCGAGACAATGTCATTCATTATGATGATGAAGGAGGTGGTGAAGAAGACACTCAGGCTTTTGACATTGGGGCTTTGAGGAATCCCAAAGGAATTGAGGATAACAAAATACGCAGGGATATCAAGCCAGATGCTCTCTGCTTGCCTCGCTCAAGACCACCCACAGAGGACAACACGAATATTAGAGATTTCATAAATCAGAGGCTGAGAGAAAATGATAGCGATCCATCAGCTCCCCCTTATGATTCACTAGCGACTTATGCTTATGAAGGAAATGGATCTGTAGCTGAATCTCTTAGCTCTATTGATTCTTTTGCAACAGAAGCAGACCAGGATTATGACTATCTGAGTGACTGGGGACCACACTTTAAAGTCTTAGCAGAGATGTTTGGAGAAGAAGAAAGCTATAATCCTGATAAAGTCACTTAGCTGGAGGAGACAAGGAATGAAAAGTAAACTCACAACCAGTTTTACACAAAAAACAAGCTTTATAGGACAAGTTTCACTGATTATAAGAGACAGCAGCTGTTTCCAGCAAATTCCTTTATTTATCATACCACCGAACTTGGTTTACTATTTTTCAGGGGAAGAATAATTTTTGACTATCTTTTGTTGTTGTTGTTGTTGTTTTGGTGATGGTGGTTGATTTTTTTTTTTTTTTTACTCTATTACTTTGAAGTCACACTGAGACTGTCTTAGGCCTATTAGCTACAATTTATCGATACAACAAAACAGAAAATATAGCTTTCCGGCATTGTGGTGGAAGAGTGGTAGATTTTTCTTAATTCCACTGAAGTGCCTATTGAAACTCTTACCAGTAAAGTGGAAATAACTGCAGCAACAGAAGTAAAGAAAAATGGCATAAAAGAAAGGACATTAACTTTTATCTGGAGACACAAAAGCTACCTGCTGACTTCTGGTTCTTTTAAAACATACAATGTAGAACAGAGAGTAGAATCTGCCCAGTTGCTGCAACTTGCTGAGGAAAATGTTGGGTTTGTTTTGGGGGGCTGCTTTATTTCATTTTTTTTTAAAACCAAGAAAACAAACTGTCTGATAGGACAACATCTTTCTTATACTTACATTTCAGAGAGAACAATTTTGAAAAAGCTAGTATTCCAATTCAAGTTGTAAAATCCACAGTCTTAAACTGAAATAATGAATATTTAAAATGTTCATCAAATGTTACTCTTTTTTTCAAGAATTAAAAA